CTGGGAGACATGTCTTTCAATCTCTGGTTGAGTCTGATAAATGTTGCCACCCTCAGTCACTAGCCTTGAAATTGCATTTTTTCTTCTTCCCTGGATTGTGAGGGCATGGAAAAAGCCAGTGTTTTTGTCTTCTTCTTTGAGCCAAAGAGCTCTTGATTTCTGCCTCCTGTGACTTTCTTCCAGATCATAAGCCCCTTCAAGCTCCTTTCTGAGAGCTTCTCTTTCCTCTCGATTGTTTCACTCCTATCCCCTCTCAGAGATTTCAGTCTCAAATTGATGCTGTCAATTTTCTTCTGGTTCATAGATTTGAATTTAGCGTTCCAAATTAACAGTGCCCTTCTGCTCTGTTTCATTTTCTCCTTCGCAATGAACATTGGGGTCCCAGTTTTGGCCTTCTCCCAAACCTTTTGAACCACTTCTTGTATACCCTTCTTTTTGAGCCATCTCTTATCAAAAGAGAATCTTTTCCTCTTCACTCTATCCTCTCATCCTGTATTAAGAATTAACATAGCATGATCTGAGGCACTTTTGAACTCATTCACGATTCTGGCATGTGGATAATGGGTGAGCCATTCCAAGGAGCCAAACCCCTTGTCTAATTTCTCCTCAATATAGCCTTCTGCTTCTCTCATGTTCCCCCATGTGTACTGGTGCCCCGCCATTGTTATTTCTTCCATACCCATAGAGGATATGAAACTGTTAAACCCCATAAGGCTTCCCTCAGTTCTTTCCCTTCCCCCTACTTTGTCTTCTGGGTAGCACAAGTCATTCCAGTCTCCTATGATAAACCATCTTCTACCATGTTGATGAAAATAAATTCCACCCGGGCTTCTTCAACTCAGACGGCCTCCGTACCTGCAAGAACCCAACGCCGGGAGGGGTCCTAGCATTAGGCCTCCGACACTCAAGTCAATATTACTCCAAAATTCCAAATTCCATGAGAGTAATTATGAATGTAGAGATTGAGAGTGAGAGAATGAGATACCTTAGCCCCCCTTTCATAGGGGGAATGTACCTTATGGCCCAAGTTGGGCTTGTCCAATGCCATCATGCCACGTGTCCTAGCCCATTTGTAGGTTTATTCTTCAATATATTCCTTTTTATCCATTAAAACCGGTCTAGTATAATATCCTATATCATCTAGTCCTCCCACGAGTAAGCATGCCTCGATCTAAGAGTGAAATTCCTTTTCGGGCTGCTTCCGTCAACCTGTCCCCGAGGTTATAATTTGAATAAATCCTCGACCACTGAATAGTCACTAAACCTCCAAATGCACATCAGGACCCCAAATGAACACCGAATGACCATTAAGGTAAAAAATCGAGAGACCTGCCTTTGAGGTGGAACACCAAAGCACCTAACACTGAGGTTGAAAATCAAATGACCTACCACTGAGGTCGAGAACTGAATAACCTTCCTCTGAGATCAAATACCAAAAGTCGAACGACCACTGAGGTCAAAAACCGAGTGACCCGCCACTGGAGTCGAACACCAGAATTTGAACGACCACTGTCAAAAACCAAGTGACACGCCACTGGGGTCGAACACCTAAAGCTGAACGACCACTGAGGTCGAAAACTAAGTGACCCGCAACACCTAAAGCCGAACAACCACTGAGGCTGAAAACTGAGTGACCCGCCACTGGAGTCGAACACCAAAAGTCGTACGACCACTGAGGTTGAAACCAAGTGACCCGCCACTGGGGTCGAACACCTAAAGCCGAATGACCACTGAGATCGAAATCGAGTAACACGCCACTAGGGTCGAACTTTAATTTTTAGAGTAGATTCTTATGCTTCTCATTTTGCAATGTCGACATTCTTTTGATATCTCTCAACCTTCTTACTTGGACTTTCATGATACTTTGATAGATTTTCTCGATCTCTCCCTCAAGTCTTGAATTTGAAATTTTGAACTCGCGTCGGTTGTTTCTCAACCACAATTTTTCGAGCTCTCTTCGCTCAAAGATAAACATTTTCTACCACCTCGTTCTATCATCGCCCTCATTTTAAAATTTGAAATTTACCCCTGCCACTTATCCTCGAGAATCGGACGTCCTTACGCGCCACTGAAGTCAAAAAATTGAAGTCGACCAAACCAAAGCAAATAAAGTCAATTATCAAAAAATTGAAGTCGACCAAACCAAACTCCCTCGACCCGCCACTGAGGCCTGCCTCCGAGGTCTCCAATAGACTCCATATATTCAACAACCCAACATTAAGATCGACCACCCAACCCGAATGCCTTAGTCATGTTCGATTTTTATCGTCGAACACATGCCCACCCTCAAAGGAGTGGTCGATACATGCGACCATCCAGCCTCTTGGCCTTAATCATGATAAATTTTACTCCATTGAACACATGTCCACCTTCGAAGAGGTGGTCGATACATGCGACCATCCAGCCTCTCGGCCTTAATCATGACGGATTTTACTCCCTTAAACACTGCCCACCTTTGAAGAGGTGGTCGATACACGCGACCATCCAGCCTCACGGCCTTAATCATGATGAATTTTTTGTCTTCGAACACATACCCACCATCGAATGAGTGGTTGATACATGCGACCACCCAGCCCGGAGGCCTTAGTCATGGTGGATTTTTTGTCTTCGAACACATGCCCACCCTTGAAGGAGTGGTCGTTACATGTGACCACCTAGCCCGAAGACCTTAGTCATGGTAGATTTTTTTGTCTTCGAACACATGCCCACCCTCGAAGGAGAGGTTGATACATGCGAACCCAGCCCGGAGGCCTTGGTCATGGTGAATTTTATGTCTTTGAACACATACCCACCCTCAAAAGAGTGGTCGATACATGCGACAACCTAGCTCGGAGGCCTTAGTCATGGTGTATTTTTTGTCTTCGAACACATGCCCACCCTCGACGGAGTGGTCGATGCATGCAACCAACCAGCCTGGAGGCCTTAGCCATGGTAGATTTTTTGTCTTCGAACACATACCCACCCTCAAAGGACTGGTCGATACATGCGACCACCCAGCCCGGAGGCCTTAGTCATGGTAGATTTTTTTCCTTTTGAACTGATCGAACACTTCGACCTACCACTGAGGTCGACAAGAATAAACACCAAACACCACAAGATAGAATAGTAATTGATCATTTTCGTTAGTCCCATCAAATGCATAGTTATATCGAACAGGATAAAAAAAATCAAACATATTTATTGACTTCCCTTTCCTATCTGTACACGACGACTTGACTTGTTGTTTGATCCATGCTTTCCACTTCTCACCGTAACCAATATCGAGTACACTTGTTCATATATTTTCCTCAACAAGAATTCAACAAATCCCATTAGTCGTATTTTATCCGCATTATCCAATTTGCAATCTCGATAGCAATAATAACAAGAGATAAATAAATCAAAGCAATCAAATTGGTCCACGTGCTTTTATTCTTCCCCTCCATCTACATGCAAGCCTCTTTACCACGATATGAAATCACATAAACACCCACTCAAATGTACGGTCGACCAGAAATTTACAAAACCATGAATTCAACAAATAATTTCAACAAACTATACTCTGCAGCTGCAAACAACCGTCAAACAAATGTACCAAATCAAAATTCAGATGAATTACTCCCAACACCTAGATTATTAGTCATGACCACTCGAAACTGGCCAGCCCGAAGGCTTTAGTCATGCCAGGTTTTGTTCGAGGCTCCACGAACACCTCATTTTCTACATTTTGCTAGCCACTCAAATGATAATTCTGAATATATCCATATACACCACAATCTCATCAACATTTTGCAATAAATATTCAAACAATGTACAGTCCTCCAAAAAAGATTGCTAAGATACTCAATGTATTACAAAATTGTGTCAGTCGAACTAGGCCGCAAACAACAGTTGGGATTAATTTCATATCTGAAGATCCAGAAAATCCTCATTATCTCACCTCTCCAAAAGAGAATGATTTCTGCCTATCGACATCATCCAGGCTCGTCCCTCACTTTGATAAATTCATGCTCCTTTATTTTGTCCTCGAAATTCAACAGCTCATCCGCCATAGCTTGTCAAGACTCGGGTTATTTCGTCGTTTCCTCGACAAAAATTCAGAGACATCATTATCCATATTATATTCACGTCATCCATTTTGCAATTCTCTATGCCAGAAAAACAAGAGATCAACTACAAACATCACCATCTCCTCGATTCATGACATGCTCGAACAATGACATGCTTAAAAAATTATGAATAGTCAATTCAAGCAAAATTCCACACTTTTCACATGAAAAATCCAAATGAGAGGTTCCCAATATATCAAGATATCCAATCCTATAATTTTAATCCACCTCCTCAAGCCCATCGACAAGTGCACCAAAAACATGATAAACACAATCCTAAAATATTCTCAATTCAAAATCACGACCCGCATTTATTTTCAATCAAATAAGTTCTCCACGAATAAGTCAAATAATATCACGATCAAATCAAATATAATCTCGTACAAATCAAATAATTCCACGATGGAAAAATTAGAGATTTAGTCCTTTAAGTGGCGTCGATTTGAGGTTTAGTCCTTTAACTGACCAACTTTTAGAAAAGGTCCTGTAAGTCTCAAAAAACCTGAGATTTAGTCCTATTACCGGCAAAAACAGGTCACTTTTACCGGCTTGCCTACGTGGAATTTTACACGATTTTTTTTTTTTTTTTTGCTGATTTAGCTGACTTGGAAAAATATGTAACATATTTACAAAAAAATGTAGATAGTGGGGTTCGAACCCAGACCAAAGAGTATTTGGTCTGGGTTCGAACCCAGACCAAATATAACTTAAGATTACTCCTTGGGGGTGGATTGATTCTTCTTTGGGGAGGGCTAGATTCTTCTTTGGGGAGGGAGTGATTTAGTTTCCTGCATTACTCTATAGGGGGTTTCTCAAATCTCCATCTATTTTATTCGCAGGGTTTCGATATTTGGCAATTAGGGTTTCTGGGAAGGGGGTTTAGCTCGTGCTGCTAGGCATGGACCCAGCTAGCTCGGGAGGGTTCCAGGAAGAGCTCAGTGATAAGTTGAAACAGATAGCACTTTCTCAATCGGAATTCGAGGTCCTGGAGCTTAAGGAAGAGGACATTCGTCTTAGTGCGGAAGAATGCAAGACGAGCCTCATTGGTAAAGTAATAGAGGAAAGGAAAGCTCATCTTTCAGGAATTAAGAAGACCATGGGGATAATTTGGCAAATCCAAAATCCTATGGAGGTTAAGGAATTACAAACCAATTATTTTCAATTTATTTTTGGTTCCTTACAAGACAAGAGGAAGGTGACGGCTGGTATCCACTGGCTGTTTGAAAACCAGTATCTGGTTTTGCGAGAGTGGGAGGATGGTCTCCATGAAAATCACCCATCATTTTCAGAAATCAAGATGTGGATTCAGGTAAATAATCTCCCTCTGAACTGGTTGTGTACGGATGTGGGGCGTAGAATTGGGCACATATTTCTTCGTACGATGAATGTGGTGGTTGTTAAGGCGGGGGGTAATAGAGGCAGTTATCTCAGAATGTTGGTAGGTGTTTATGCCTCTAAACCGCTTCCCAGAGTAGTGAACTTGAAATTGAAAGACCAACAAATCACAGCAGTCATTCAGTATGAAAAATTGGTCAACTTATGCCATTATTGTGGACTAATTGGTCGCCTAGAAAGATCTTGTGAGAAGAAGATGAATGATATGGACTCGAATTCAGTGAAAGAAGGTCAATTTGGTGAGTGGATGAAAGCTCCGGAAGGTTATTGGGGACCTAGGCCTAGTTCATCTCAGAGTCCGAATAATACTACTTCTTATAATTCTCCTGAGCCAAGCATCCAACAACAATCCCACATGGGAACAAGCAGCAAAGCTTACAACTCCTCAGATAGTAAGAACCAGAATAATTCTGAGTATGAGGACAACAACCAAGGAGGAGGGAATTTGAACAAGGATCAAATGAGGTGTGACCAGACTCAAACAACATCCCTGGAGTTGGTGGTAGCACAATTCCCCTCAGATGCTGAAACTACCATTAATAACATGGAGATGGAGAACAGAAGTAATATGGGGTTGGCTAGTATTCCTGAAGAAGGTTATCCCCAAATGCTTAACTTTAAAACTGGACAAATGGATACTCAGAATATCCAGAGATTTCCCAACCAGTTGAAGAAGAAGGGCTGGACCAGACAGATGGGACACGTTGGTAGATTAAAAAGGGGAATCTCTAGCTCCGCTGTTGTCAAGGAGGAGGGGAAGCTTAAAAGGAAGATTTCTACTGCCAAGAGTAGTATCAGTATTGATGCTGAAGATGAGAATGTGACTATTTCTACCCATAAATCTAAAAAACAGAAGAATCTGAATGATAAGGTGGAGGATGCCAGCCTAAATTGGCCCCAAGTTTCCAAATGAAGCTGCTGGTGTGGAACTGTAGAGGTCTGGGTGGACCCTCTACAGTATCCCAGATAAAGGATTTTTCTAGAATCCACCACCCCAGTTTTTTCTTTCTTTCTGAAACAAAAAAAAAGAAAGACTTTGTCCAAACTGTGTGCAATAAAATTGGTTTTAAAAACATGTGGTTTGCTGTTGATCCTCAAGGCTTAAGTGGGGGTTTGTTGTTGTTATGGAGTAAGGAGATGCAGATTGTGCAAATAAAAGGGAATCACTTTTGTGTGGAAGTTGAAGTCAAAGGCAAAGTTGAAGGTCAGACCTTTTGGGTTATCTTCATATACTTGAGCACAGATAGAAGAGTGAGGGAGGATCAGTGGGCCTTTCTGGAGAATGCTAAGGATGGTTGGGGAGATCACTGGCTTCTTGGGGGAGATTGGAATGATGTTTGTGAAGTTAGTGAGAAGAAAGGAGGTAGAAAGAAGACTGAGAATGATCTCAGAGGATTTAAGCAGTTCATTTCTTCTATGGAAATGCTTGAAGTCCAAATGTGTGGCCATCAGTTCACATGGGGTAATAACAGAGAAGGGGAAGGGTTTATTGAGGAGAAGATTGACAGAATTTTTATTTCATATGCTTGGTTAGCTGACAATCCTGATGCTGTGGTGAATACTGCTTACTTGAGTGCTTCAGATCACAGGATTCTTATTCTCTCTTCTCAATCAAATCTTGATGTTGATAAACCTAAAAGAAGGTTCTTCTTTGATAAGCGCTGGCTGAAGATGAATGGGGTAAAGGAGACAGTGGATAGAGCTTGGAACACTAATACAACTGGCACTCCCATGTACCAGGTATCTGAGAAGATTAAGGCAACTAGAATAGCTTTACTCAGGTGGAGCAGTTTTTTTCACAAGGAGAGAGTTAAAGCCAAGACTGAAATTGCTGATAAGCTGGAGATTTTGAGCAAACAGGGTACAGAGAGAAACTGGGAGGAATGGGAAATGTTGAACAAAGAGATGAATAGAATTGTGAAGCTGGAAGAAGAACACTGGAAGCAGAAAGCTAGAAATTCTTGGCTTAAACTGGGAGACTCAAATTACAAATACTTTCATGCCTTAGTGATGCAAAGAAGGTCAGGCAATGCTATAACTAGACTTGTGAATGATAGAGGAGAAATTTGTGAGTCTCCTGGGGCTATTGAGCAGTGTATTTGCAAATTTTATGAGGATATTTTCTCTTCTGAGGGCTCTGAGGCTGATGAATATCTGATTCAACTTATTCCAACCACAATCTCTGAGGATATGAATTGCAATCTTGTAGCACCCTTCTCAGAAGAAGACATCAGGGAAGCTCTTTTTAGCTTGAATCCAGACAAAGCTCCTGGTCAAGATGGGATGTCGCCTATTTTCTTTCAAACCTTCTGGGAAGTTGTCAAAGGGGATGTGTGTAAGGCTGTGATTAGCTTTTGTGAGTCTGGTATGATGTTAAAGAATTGGAACCATACCTTGATCACTTTGATTCCAAAATGTGCCAACCCAACTTCTCTTTCTCAGTTCAGACCTATTAGTCTATGCAGTGTATCTTATAAAATCATTGCTAAACTGCTCACTGCTAGATTGAAACCTTGTTTAGATTTTTGCATCAGTATTAACCAAGCAGCATTTATCCCCGGGAGGCAGTTGATGGACAATGTGGTGATAGCTCAAGAGGCCATCCACTATTTGAATAGACATAACTATGGAGCAAAGAGTCTTATGGATGTCAAGCTGGATATGGAAAAAGCCTACGACAGAGTGGAGTGGAAAAGTATCAGACTGATTATGGCAAAAATGGGATTCAATGCCCTCTTCATTAAGTGGATTATTGCTTGTGTGTCCTCTGCTGCTTATTCATTCAACATTAATGGCAGTATGAAAGGGTTTGTGATAGCCACTAGAGGCATCAGACAAGGTGATCCACTATCACCTTACTTGTTCCTTCTTGTCTCTGAAATGTTCTCATTACTTCTGAAACATGAAATGGATATTGGTAATTTCTCTGGTTTAAAGATAGCTAGATCAGGGCCAACAATTTCTCACCTATTATTTGCTGATGATGCCCTGGTCTGTTGTAATGCTGATTGTCTTCATGCTGAACTTCTCTTATCAGTGATGGGAACTTATAGAAAATTTACTGGTCTGAAAGTGAATCTTTCAAAGTCCTCTATCTTTTTTAGCAGAAATGCTCCTGACCTGCTCAAGAGCAATGTTTGCCACATCCTGCAAGGAATTCAGATCCAAAATTCTACTAGATATCTAGGGTTGCCCTTGGGGATTGGTAGGTCCAAGATTGAGGTTTTTGACTATGTGATTAAAGCTGTGGAATATAGACTTATTAATTGGAAAAACAATTTTCTCTCAACAGCTGGAAAAGAGGTCTTATTGAAAGCTGTGATTGAAGCTATGCCTACATTTTCTATGTCCTGCTTCATTTTGCCTCAGGGGATTTGTAAGAAAATTATCAGCATGAGTGCTCAGTTTTGGTGGAGCACTGGACAGAACCAAAAAAAGGGACTCCACTGGAAGGCATGGAATCAAGTCTCTATACCAAAAGCTGCTGGTGGACTGGGTTTCAAAGATTTATCTGTTTTCAATGAAGCTTTGATATTAAAGCAGATTTGGAGAGTCCTCTCCCATCCTAACTTACTTGTGAGTCAAATTCTAAAAGCCAGATACTTTGCCAACTCTGATTTGTTGAAAGTGAAGAAGCCTAGCTCAGCTTCATGGTTGTGGTCCAATTGGCTATCTGTGCGAGATAAATACAAAGATTGTTTCAGAATTGAAGTCAAAATGGGCACAATACAAAAATTTGGGATGATCCCTGGATCCCATCCATCAAATATGGGTCTCCTTCTCCCCAATCAGGTCAAGATGGTCAGTTGGTGTGGGTCAATGAGCTAATGGAACCTGGGGGCAGGAGATGGAATTCTGAGTTATTAGGGAAAGTGTTCTCTCAGCAAGACAAAGAAGCCATACTGAAGATTAAAAATCTGGATCCTCTTCAGAGTGACAAGTGGATGTGGACTCCTAATGATAAGGGTAAGTTTTCTGTGGCTGGTACTTATTCTCACATTATCAATCTTAAAGTTCTCAATTTGGGGACACCTGAGAGTAGCCACTCCCATTGCCTGAATAAAAAAGTTAGAACA